ATAGGGAGAAGAAATAAGGTTTTTAGAAAGTTAAACCAGAACCGTTAGATCCACATAATCAATCTAACGGTGAAATAAATTAGTAGTGACATTGGTAGTAACATTAATCGGTAGTAACAATATCCTATCTTTTTTTTAAAAGGATAAAAAAATTCTCTTTTAACCAGGGACAGAGCCAGGAATTTAGGTGAAAGAGGGGAGGGGCGAAAATAAAAAGTATTATATTATAAATAAAAGTACTTAAAATATAATACAATCCTAATATAAAAAATATTGTTGTAATAACCACTTGAAAATCACAATCGAAGATCACTATCTGGTTCTTCCCTCCTTTTTTTGTGTCTAGTATACTATACCACTTGATTCGATAAACTCGATGCAAATTGTCAAAAAATGTTAGCCAATGGTTGAAAAAGAAACTCGTGTGGAAAGAGATTCCTAATCCAGATGATAGAGTAGATCTGTTAGCTAAACCTATTGAACTATTGAGTCGTCCTAATTGTTAAAGTGTATTTGCGATTTATGCTTTTGATCAATTTTTGAATCCTATGCTAATTTGAGCGTTGGAGTTTCCCCTAAGCTTATTTTGCAAATGTGTGATTCATGCTCACTACGACAATGTTAATTACTACTTGAGTTTTGATCTTCCATATTTTATGCTCATTTTTCTAATCGTCTTGTTATATACTATGTGCAGATATTAATATTTGCTTATTACTGCTTGTCTTTTTTTTAAAAAAAGATTACCTTAACTACCCATAAATTAAAACAAAAAAAATAACATCGAGGAACTCTTAATGTCCCGTGGCTACGACTTGCGTCGCCTTGTCTTCATCTGATGCGTCGTAGCCTTTTTCTTTATCGTTGTAAAGGAAGAGAGAGAACGCAAAACACAACACTACACAGCTCCGAAAATAGGAGGAGGAGAAACATTTGTAAGCATTGTATTTGTATTGGATTTTGTAGATTTAGATGTGTATCTCTATTTTCTGAAGCTTGTGGTTCTGTGATTTCCATCCTTTGTGTTTATGTTTTTAACGACCTTTTTGTCTTCTTTCCCTCCAAACGTCAACTCTTGCACAACATAACCCACCCTTTATGTTGAACTTGATCATTTTCGTGTTCTTTTCCGTATTCAACGCTTATTTTAGATTTTGGGATTTTTTGAGTATGTGTGTTGAATTAATGATTATTTTCAAGTTAAAAATTTTCAAGGTTACTCTTGTTAAATTATTGTTTTTTGGTATATTTTATTTGTGTCACTTTTTTAGTGATTTTTGCCTTATACCCTTTGTTGGAGATGACGATTCAAATTAAAAATTTTGATCTTGAATTTGTTTTACTCATGTGAAGGTCTAATTTATTTATTTTTCCCTTTATTTTTTCCGTGTGGCTCCTTTATATGATTATTTTTGTTGCTCCCTTGGCATGTGATCAGAATAGGACATTTCATATTGTTGAGTTCGTGGTTTGAGTAAAAAATAAGGTGGGGATTGAATGTTTACACGTAAGAAGGGTTTGGATATTGTTTGGCTGTTTCAAGCCTGAATTTTTGGTAGCTAGATGGTAGTTCTAACTGAAATTATTATATGGTTCTTTAATACAATTACCTACAATGTTAGCTTCTTCTCTGTTTTTTTTAAGCGCAACTTTTGTATTTTTTTTAAAAAAATTAACTCTGTTAACTTTAGTTTTAAATGAAAAATCAAGTTATGGGAGTAAGTGATAAAAAACTTTAAATAAGGAATATAAATAATTAAAAATATTGAGAAGAGGATAAGTGATTCTAAGAAAATTTACCAGAAATTTTTGAAGTTTTTCCTAATTTTTAATAAAGTTTCTTATGTGGTGGAAGAGTGCAGATAAAGCAAAATCAGCATATAAAAAAGATGAGCATATTTTTTGTGTTATGGAAGTACCTACTTCCTTAACAAAAAGAAAAAAAAAATACGAAAGAAAATAATCATAAAAAAATAGTGTAATTATATTATATTTCTCATATTTGATAAAGGATACACCCATTTTTTCCCCCCAAAAGGACGATACAATATTTACGCGATTCTCGTGGATCAAAATGATTTACAATACATGTATTTGAGATTGCAAAGTAAAAACGGGTTAAAAATTTGTAACTATCTAATATTTTCCTAAAGTATAGTGGCTAGATCCCATAAAATAAATCAGAATAATGTCATCAGCAGTGAAGCATAGACAATAATTTAGTATAATTGCACAAAATAAAAAGTCAAGAATTAACAATTTTATATGCAAAAATAATTGTCCATTTTTATTTATTTATAAAAGTCATGCTTTACAAGATTAATTAATTGTGTTTAGGTGTGCTGATAATCAGACTCATGTGATTGAATATGAATGAAGAATTTTCAGGGCATAAAGGAAATCCAGGTGCAATTATTTGAAGAAAATTTGTTGTGCTATCTTGGAAAAATAGGAAAAAGAATATAATGATTGAACTGTTCCTAGGTCATGCAAGGCTTACATCATTGATCACGTTATTTTAGAATTACATATACAATACTCAATATGACACAATAATAGTACTGGTCCAGAAGAAGAAGAAAAATGCTACAAAGGAACAAAAACAAAAGGCACCCTCCAAAATCTCAGGTTTATCTGGAAAAATTGGATATATACAGGGAAGGGGAGGGAAGATCCTTAGGCTGTGGGCCTTGAAATTTAGAAATGCCACGTGGAGACAGGCTGGATTTAGTAGGATGACATGGCAAGGTGTGGGGTTACTAGGTCACTAGGGAGATGAGAATATGAATATCAATGGCAATGCACGGGATTGAAGGCACTGTAACATTTATAATGGGATTGTGGGGGCAAGCAAAGGGAAGTTAGAGAGCCTTTAAGACAAACCCATCTGGCTATCTAATCCAAATTCATGTGCATTCATTAATCTATGTGTGTGATTGTGTGAAATAAAAAGCAAAGCAAACCCTCCAAAAGAAAAAGCATGATTCCTGTGGCTTACGAGAGAAGAGTCGCTTTCTCACTCCCCATAAATTTGCTCCTTCATTTAAGCTCGCAAAAATGCAAGTTATTTATCAGACAACTGCAATGTATGGTTCTCATTGTTCAACCAAACAAGAAACAAGAATTGGCACTAAACAAGAAAAAAAAAGCATTTTGTTAAAAAAGAAAACAAAAGATTTTCCTGAAGATGAGCTGGAAAAAAAAAAAAGAGCAAAATATTGGCACCATGACATTGGTTCAATGGCTCATTATATCCTTTTGTGTCATGATAATATCTTTTTATCAAATTATGGTAGTTTAATTGGCATAATTATGGACGGGTCTGTCTAGTTTATGGTGATTATTGCAATTTGAAAAGTTAAAATTCAGCATAATCATTCAATAGCAAAGAAGAAAAAATACGTGTTTAATTACAAGTGAACCGTTGATTGATCATTATTTATGATTTGGTTTTGGTGACAGATAGTTTAGAGGTTAAAACTCCATTGGTCCCTGTTGTTTTTTTTATTTTTATTATTATTGCACGAGTTTGGCACGAAAATTGCATTATTTTATAAAATCTCAGAAGATAAAAAGAAAAAAATAATAAAATATTTGATGGAAATTTTTCTGCGCTATCTTGCAAGACTATAAATATATAAGACTTAATTATCATCTATAATTGAAAAAAAATATTATAAGAAATGAAATAAATTAAAGTAATGGTAATTACAAGTAAACAAATAAATAGAGATAATATTAATTACAATAAATTGAGATAGTGATTGACATGCCTTATTTCAAGAAATATAAAATTAATGTAAAAGTGAACATTAATTAAATACTTTATCTATTTTTTATTTGTTTATCTCATAATATTCTATAAAATAAATTCCCTTTATGAATTTTACTTAAAAGGTTGAAATTTACAAAACTAGTATCATTGCATTTGGTGAAGTGAGAGGGGTTTAGGGGCGATTGCACTTGCACCCTTCACTTTTTAAAACCTACCATTAGTATTGATTACATATTCTAAGAGCAATCATGCTTAAATTTAATTATGTAATTATTTATTTTTAATTATAAATTTTAAAACATATATAAACTTATTTGCTTAAAAATAATATTGAGGTCCGTTTTAGATGCACTTGTAAAAAAAAAATTATACCTTATTTATTTTAGAAGTATTTTTTTTTCACAAAAGTTAAAATCATTTAGATTTTAAGAAAAAATATTTAATTCTTGAAAAATATTTGATTTTTGATTTCTAATTTTTCACAAGTTAAATTTTTAACTCATGTGCTACTATTTCTTCGCCTCTTTCTTCACAAGAGTGATTGTACGTTAAAAAGAATAAAAATTGACAAATATTTAAAAAAAAAAAAATCAGTGCTTGGATTATATAAGTATTGGGTCAACTTATGCAAGGGTAAATCCGTAATTTAGGTGTTGATCAGAAATAAATAACAAGTGATTTTTCTTACAAGCTGTGCTTACTTTTGGGGCATATTGCTAGAGTTATCTTTTCACGGTGGTTGAATTGAAACTTAAGAAACCGAGGACCCGTGATGAGTAACTGGCTATATCCAGTGAGAAGCATTCACTCACCGGCTAAATCAGGTAACAAAATCATAAATATTCTCTTACTAGGGCCATAGACCTAGAAGGCCACATATAGCTTGTGTGTGTGAGAGAGAATCTGTGGTGGTGTGTTGCCAGCTAAGAATTTGAAGGATGAAAGCTTTCCATAAGGGTCAAAGCTGTCAAATTTTCTTTCAAGACCTTTTCTCCCTCCCTTTTTTTGATGTGTCTTAAATCTTTTACCACTCTCTCCTTATAATTAACATTTATTTGAAATTCACACATAAAATAAAATAAAATAAAATCCACACACTTACCTAATACAGATATAAAACCCTGCCATTGTTCCTCCCAATTCCCTGACCCTATTCATTCATTTCTTTCTCTCTCAAACTCAAACCCCTTTCTCTCTTTCTCCATCCCCTTATATATTCTTCTCCCTTTATTATCAGAGCACAGATATTATGTGCCTGTTTTGATTAAGGGGGAGGAGGGAAGAGAGAGAGAGAAAGTTGGGATTTGATAATTTGATGGTCCAAGATTGTATCCTCTGCTAGCTGCAAACACAATCCACCGAAAATGGCTGTCACTGCTCCCTCTCTAACTGCTACAGAAAAGAAGCACTGGTGGCTTACCAACCGAAAGGTAAAAGTATCACACATTTTTTCTAATTATGTGCGCTGATCGAATCGAAAGACACTAGTTTCTGCAATGGACATGATTTTGTCTTTGGTAATGCTTTTTGGAATCGCACATTGATGTTTTGCTTGTCTCTGTTTGCAGATTGTTGAGAAATACATCAGAGACGCTCGTAGCCTCATTGCGACACGAGAACAGAGCGAGATCGCTTCGGCTCTGAACCTTGTTGACGCGGCTCTGGCGATTTCTCCCCGGTTGGACCAAGCGCTTGAACTGAGAGCGCGGTGTTTGCTCCATCTGCGGCGGTTCAAAGACGTCGCCGATATGCTTCAGGACTACATTCCGAGCCTAAGAATGGCGAACGATGATTCTGGCTCTGTTTCTTCGGATAGCCCTTCTCAGCAGCTTTCGAGGGAGGGAGTGAAACTTCTCTCATCTGAGTCGCCGGCTGGGGATCAGAGTTTCAAGTGCTTCTCTGTCTCCGACCTCAAGAAGAAGGTCATGGCAGGACTCTGTAAAAGTTGCGACAAGGAAGGGCAATGGAGGTAAATTTTCTCTTAACCGCCACCTGTTTCATTCATTGGTTTCGCTTTGCAATCTGTCTCTCGTTTTGATGGGTGTTTTTTTAAAAATGGAATTTCTTCAATTTGGGGGGGTTCAGCTTTTTAATGACTTTTTATTTTAAGATCAATCAGATCGAAGTAAATAAAATAATCAATACTTGTTCTATGGATATGAGTAAGAGTAAATGCTCGTGCCTCTTATTCACGCAAATGGTTTCCAGCTCTTATTCTAAATTACTTATTTTTAATCATATCTACATTCTTAGCATTTTCTTTTCTATCAATTACAATGTTAGTTGTACGCTATGTTTTTATTTTATTTTTTAAATCTCAAAAAGTAGAACCCTCCACCAGGCTGGCTTCGAGAGAAAAGGAAAAATAAAATGTTGCTTATATTTCAGATGTTTGGTAGACCTAACTCTCCCTTCTCTTTTTGTTCTGTCACACAGTATTCCATTTTTACATTTCCTGTACTGATAAGTTTATGTTTCTAATCATCATCTATAGGGTGGAATGGGTTTAAGTATTAATAGGACAAGTAATGTACAACCTTGGTGTTATTAATTTATTATTTATCAAAGTGTTTGTTTTGACTGAGTTTGTGGTTCCAATGCAAATAAACAGATACTTGGTTTTGGGTCAAGCATGCTGCCATCTAGGCCTAATGGAGGATGCAATGGTTCTTCTCCAAACGGGAAAACGCCTTGCCAGCGCTGCATTCCGCCGTGAGAGCGTGTGTTGGTCCGATGATAGCTTTTCTCTATCAAGCATTCCCTTCGCCGGAGACACAACAAACCCACCACCCACCACTCCACCGCGAACCCCTCTGAGTGAATCGGAGAGTGTAACCCATATCCTCAGTTACATCAAGTTCCTTCTCCGCCGCCGCTCCGCGGCACTCGCAGCCCTCGACGCTGGCCTTTATTCGGAGGCCATCCGCCACTTCTCCAAGATCATTGACGGCAGGCGTGGCGCCCCACAAGGCTTCCTCGGCGAATGCTACATGCATAGAGCCTGCGCACACCGTTCGGCAGGTCGAATTGCAGAGTCCATAGCAGACTGTAACCGAACCCTTGCACTCAACGCTACTTGCATTCAAGCCCTTGACACCAGAGCTTCGCTTTTTGAAACCATTCGTTGTTTACCGGATTGCCTACACGATCTTGAACACTTGAAGTTGCTCTACAATTCAATCTTGCGTGATCGCAAGCTTCCTGGCCCTGCATGGAAGCGTCACAACGTGCGTTACAGGGAGATTCCTGGGAAACTCTGTGCCCTAACAGCAAAGATTCAAGAACTGAAGCGGAGGCTTGCTTCTGGGGATACTGGTAACGTTGATTACTATGCATTGATTGGTTTGCGACGAGGGTGTTCTCGATCTGAGTTGGAGAGGTCTCACTTGTTGCTATGTTTGAGACATAAGCCTGATAAAAGTACGAACTTCATAGAGAGGTGTCAGCTTGCGGATGAACGTGATGCTGAGTCTGTTAAGGAGAAAGCGAAAATGTCAGCTTTGTTGCTGTATAGATTGGTTCAGAAGGGTTACACAAGTGTGATGGCTAACATAATGGATGAGGAAGCTGCTGAGAAGCAGAGGAAGAAGGTTTCTATGCAAGCTGCTGCACAAGCAGCAACAATTCAAGTTCAGAAAATAACTGAACAACCTGAGTTTAATAAGCCAGATAATAGGAGCAGCAACAACAACGTTTTGGGGGAAAATAAGTCCACTGTATCCTCTTCAAATGTGAATCCTGCAGTTTTCCAAGGTGTATTTTGCCGTGATCTTTCTGTGGTTGGGAACTTGCTTTCACAGGTGGGGTTTAATCGACCAATTCCGGTGAAGTATGAAGCTTTGAGCTGTTAATTGAATTTTTCGTCGAAAATAGAAATATTTGGTGGGGAGCTGTTGGAGATGTTACCGGCAGAGGGAATCTTGTAAAAAATCTCTGGTTCGTTCACTTTATTGTACAAAAGCAGAAAAGAAAATATATTAGACTGCCGGAAAATTTTGTCACCTTTTCCTTTTTATCTTTTATTAGCCATCTTTTATCTATCAGATGTACAGATTATAATTACTGAAGGCTCTCCTTTTGGATCTTGGCTCTGGCTTGAACCTTCCCCGCAATTCCTCTTTAAATTTCGTATTTAAGTACGGATCTTGGTTAACGGCTACCTTTTGCTTCTAATGGACTTGGAAACACTAATTATATATATATATTTTTTTTAAGTAATGGAAAATAAAGGCTTTACTGTTTGCCGCGATTGCCTAGTCTTTTTTCCTTGTCTTTAGCTACTCGCCATCTTATTTTTCAACGGTTAATCTATCTAGAAAACTGACATTCCATTGAAGTTCATTCATTTATGTATCCACCAGAAATTTTGCTGTGTCCAAGTTTTTGTTTAAGTCTGTCAAAATTTTATGCCTTCTGGTTTTTGTTTTGGCCGTCCTTCATGGTTATGTCAGCGTATTGTAAAAATAAAATAAAAGAACAGAGATGGGGGTAAAAGCACAGTTTCGGGAATCAGTCCTGTCTATTGAGACTGTCACGAAACATGACTATGAGGTTATTTGAACGTGGTCATATTGTGGTGGGGCACACTGTTTTGAAGTGAACAAGGAAAAAGGGTTGTCATTTTTTTTTTTTTTTTTTTTTTTTTTCCCTCTGGTCTAATGTATATACAACAAAAGAGCAAGGGCAGCACTCAATACAAGAAAACAAAGGGATTAGAAAGAAAATCTTATTAACTTTCACTTGCTTTGCATATGTGTTCCGTACTGTCTGACATTTTTGGTTGAATATATGCAATCTTTCATATAAAACGAAGTGTTAAAAGTGCGAGTTAGGGCTAGGTATTAGCAAATCTGTGGAGGGTAGTGCTGTTGTTGCATTGGTACGACCTGTCCTGCCAAAAAACTTGTAAAAGAGAACAAAGAAAAATTTAAAGTCCTTACGCTTGTACAACTTTAACAAGGTAGTTTGGAATTAATGAGGGTTTCAACCTCCAAAGCGTAATAATTGTATCTGGTTTGAGGCGTGGCTTCTGATACAAGAAAAAGACTGTGTATTTCTGCTCTCATGTAAAAGATGCATTATTGTGTTTATACAGTGATTCCCTGGTTGTCACTTTGGACGAAAGATACCATACAACTGTTGCCAGAAAAGTTTTTGAATGAATCCGCTGACTTGCGTTAGCATGTGCTAATTAGAAACCAAAATGTGAAAGCAACTTAAAACGTGAGATAAAAAATTATTAAGTATCATCCTCTCAGCAAATAATATCAATAATAGGTCAAAATCCTTCTGTCAAAGGAGAAAAGAACAAAATATATGCATTGAAAAAAATTCCCCCTTTTCTCATTATATGTAAAGGACTCCCCAATAGCAAGTTTAAAACCATTTTTTGTAACCGATTTGCTTGATAGCCATTTCAGAATTCTTTTCTCCCGCTCCATGTTTCATTACATATTAATTAGAAGCTTCCTGAAGAGCCATAAGTATTCAATAGTCTAATGATATTTACCCAAGAGACCAGAAATATTCTTCCTTTACTTGCAAGTGATTTGATGCGTCTTTTCCTTAGCAAGAGTAAACAACTAAAAAAAAATAAAAATTTGACTCCCCTTTTCCTTGAAGAGCGGCACTTTAATTTTCCACCTTAATCTATGATTATGTTTGCATTTTTCACCCTTGGACAACGGAAATGATTTTATATTACCAAGATGCCTAGAGGGCTTCCAGTCATGCATAATCATCCAATTCTATATATATATCATTAATTCAACAAATAATTGGTTGACATTAGTATATATTTTTCAAATGTTCTCACATCTTTATTTGATTTCAAGTAGCATTAAACTCTTCAACGCTGAACTGTTAAATAGAAAAGGGAAATAGTAATTAAGTAATTATGCAGTTCTTTGCCACTAGCATTAGAAGATGCAAATTTAAAATGATAACTTCCCTCTTTCCTTGTTAGCTAACTGCACTAAAAGTGCTTCCCAACCCACTCGAACCAAACATTTAAAAAATTGGGGTGGGGTGAGGTAGGGAGAATTAAAATCTATGAATTTGGTTGAAATTTATGAAGGCTGGAATATAGCTGGATTTATTGTATACTTCGCAAGGCCAATGCACAGCTAGTACTTAACTTATTTGATGTTTTGAATGCTCTGAAACGAATTTGCTTTTTTTTACACTGAAGACAGAGAGAAAGACGTGTATTTATTTATAAGCTAGATTTGGAATAATGAATAGCATTGGCGGAAAAGAGGAAAACATGCCTCGCACATCTCCATCATTCATATAAATAACAAAATACTGCTATCTCTGCAAAAAAACATAGATTATATCTCTGGCAGAATATTATTTTATTCTTTACATTAACCTTTCACATCCGTATTGAAAGCATAATTTGATTTCTTGAGGCGAAAGAAAAGGTGCCTCTCACGAGGGCTCCAGTTCTTTAGTACTTTATTCTATAGTCAGAGACTTAGGGGCATCTGCGTTAGACTTTTTTTTCCTTGTGTGTGTGTGTGTGTGTGTGATATAGTCTTACACTAATCTATGCACTAGGTAGTCTATGCTCATATATTAACTAGACATATTACATCTCGTGGAATGATGCCACTAAAAAGTGTAACATGTATTTTGTACATTGTAATTAGATTGTATAAAATGAACATTGAATCTAAAGTATTAATAATTTCTCCTTGTTTGAAATTTTAAGGGGATTTGATTAAGAGGAAAGCATTTAGTAATAGTTATAAACAAATGCTTTGGGAGAATTGGGATTGTAATTGAGATAAGCAGAAACATAAGAGGTGTTTGGGGGGAAAAAAATAACACTTGATGTTTGAATGTTGGGAACATGAAGGGAAGTGGTGGCCAGTTATAAGGTTACTGGCACCATGTGCTGTTATCATGTGCATTTTCCTTCCAAATAATGATGGATTATAGTGGGTCTTCTATTAAGAGTAGAGCTTTTGTCAAAACTAGGTGGCACAATGTGCTTGATGAAATATTTGAGAGTATGTGTTCGATCTTTTTCAATACTGTCTTTATATGTGGTTTTAATTTCGGGATCCGTCTCAAATCGAACTAGTCGCGAAATGATGAACCGATTAGAATATTTGAAAAAGAAAATACTTGACAAATTCTTCTCACATCATATATTTTTATTCAATAATTCTATAATATAATGCAAGTAGTTAAAAAAAAAAGTTACAAAAAATTGTGTTTTTTCCCGAGTGCTTGGGACATGGGAGTCGAATTTCATTATGAGCCAAAAGGGAAAAGGTTTTATAGAGATCTGAGTCTGCAGTGAACAATCTTCCTTTACATCTCATTTAGAATGGTTTTATGTCATTAGAAGTAAACTAGTCGATCGAGTTTCCTAGCTTAATATTTAGGGTGCATTTTTTAAATTGTTGATGCAAAGGAATTTTTTTGCATCAACTGATTATACTATGTATTACGGTAGTACATAGTTATAATAATAAAATTATTTTTTTTTCTCAGACATTATCAACTGACGTGCGAAGAGAAAAATAATAATTTTACTATTATAACTATATATAACCCATAGTACATAGTGTAAATCGGTTGGCGGATTTTTTTTTACAGTTAAAGGTGAAGTATATTTCCCTAATGCTTATATATGAAGAATGGTAATGACTTTTGAAAATACTATATTTCTCGTTTAAGGAATGATTCTAAAAATAACCAATGCTATCGAATCTGTGGGTCGAACATCTGGATATGACTATTGGCCAATGGTTCATAGTGCCTATTCTTCTATCTATGCATCTATTCCATCATAAAGGTGAAGACCACGCTAGGAATCAGCCATCAAACGTTATGGCCAATTGGCCATGGGGTTACACATTGTAATTAAGTGACTCATTGTGATGCACCTGAACCTGAAAGTCCACGGAAAAGAGTATGGGCAAGAAACATCATAATTGTGTAGAGTACCATTTAATTATATAGTGGGAATGGGAAAGGAAAGTTGCAAATGAAAGGTTTTCTGAAAATTGTTTCAGCACCTTAAAAAGTCGTATGCAGTTAAGCTGCATACGCATTTGTACTAGAGATTGTACTAGAGATTGGTTGGTTGCTGAATGCTGGGGCTTCCACTTCAAAATTGTAGGGATGGAGAAAAAAGTAGTCATACAATGATAGGCTTTGGGATCCCACAACTTGAAACTTAACACCAAGCTAAGTCCTTCTGTCCCCATAAGGAATCGAATGAAAGTGAAACACGCTGCTTTTTTTTTTAAAAAAAACAATGTTTTTTTATTTTTTTGTTTAATTTCCTTTGCAAAATTATTTCTACAGTTAAGGCAATCAGACACAAAATTCAAAGAGAGAGTGAATTTTATGTAAGAGATTTAAGCATGTTGCATTAGCGTTTTTTGTTTTTATGTCCCATCATTATTTTGATATTCTTATTACTTATTTTTTTCTACTATCATTTAATTACCATTAGATCCCATTCTTTAACCAAAATCTTTGAAAAATTTGTGAAAAGAGAAAATAATTAATGTACTCTTCAAATATATAATTATATTAGAGTGGTAATAAGTTAAGGGGAAAAATATCGTGACAACCAAGTTGTGTTACTACCAAGTGACTACCAATCAATCTTACCGTTAGATCGATTATATTGATCCAACGGTTATATCTATTTTCATCTTTGTATGGTCATGATTCTCCAAATTTAATACTTTATATTTATTTTCACCTTTGTATGGTTATGATTTCTCATATTTAATGTTTTCACTTTAAATATGAGGAATCATGACCATACAAAGATGAAAATAAATATAACCGTTGGATCAACATAATCGATCTAACGGTGAGATTGATTGGTAGTCACTTGATAGTAACACAACTTGGTTGTCACAATATCCTTCCCCGTAAGTTAATAATATAAAAAATTAATAATAAGAATATTCTTACTCTTACTTTTTTTTTTCTATGACGGATTAGTGACAAAAGAAAAGCGGCATTTTGTTTTTAGGTCCACAGAAGTAAAGTGGCATTAACCAAGAACTTCGCCTCATTTGTTATTGGGCTTAAACATGGGCCGAGGAAACCATTTCATATATCTTCGATCCAAAATTCACAATGACTTTTTTTTTGGTACAAGAAAGGGGCAAAGCCCGAAAATTCACAATGACTTTGTTTAACAATATCATTCAACACTCGTCGGGTTTCTAAGTTTTGTTTTGTTAAGCCAGGGAACAAGTGAAAAGGTGGGGGGTGGGGTGAGGGGGACACACAGGTTAGAGAGAAAATTAGATACGTTTTTGAAAAATTATTTTGGTCCTTCAACTTGCATCATTTTCCCCGTTTTAAAAGGTGGGGGGTGGCGATATCTTATTTTTAAATCTAGCAGTTCAATATCATCCACGTTTTAAACAGGAAGACCTTCAACTATGCCCATTGATCCTCATTATTTTGATATAGGCTATTATTATATTCTCACTAACCAAGTCGATTGATCCTCATTTTTTATTTTATTTTGGCTATTATAGCATTCTTATTAACTCACTGAGTTCTAGTTCTTTCCACTCATCTCTACGTATAAACTTGAGGATTTTTTTTTTTTTTTACTTAAATGCATGTGGTTGAATATTGCTTATGTTTGTGCTAATAATAAGCATTGTCTGCATTTAGAAGTAACTTTTTTTTCTTTCATAATTTGTAGATGCTTGTATATTGCTTCTCAAGCCTGTTGGGTTTCCTCCTTCAATGCTAAGCCCAAGCCCATTGAAGGGTTTTCTAAAAATCTTAAACCTAGATCTCACCTCCTTTATATATTCATTAGTTGAGGGTGGAGATTAGGTCAGATTTGAGAGATTAGAAATTTGAGAGAAAATTATTTGAGCAAAACTTTATGCTTTGTATTTGAGAGATCTCTAGAGAGAGTTTGAGTGAAACATCTTTAGAGAGCTCTGATTATCACCATTGTTAGAGAGGTTGAGTTAACCACCACATTGGTGAATTTGATTCTTTGTAACCATTATTTTCATAGTGGATTTTTGAACTGGACTAGGTCTCGTGGGTTTTTACTTCTTCATTGGAGAAGGTTTTCCCACGTTAAAACTGTTTGTGTTCTCTCTCTCTCATTCTCTCTCCTGTTTGTGTTTTGATTTTCCAATGCGCTGCCCGACCTAGTGAAATTCAGGCCGAGGTATTGCTGAGATCCGAGATCGAGGATCTTGTTGATTGACTTCTGCAAAAGGCTGCTTAGCCAAGCTTGACGGAACCGAGTTCCCAACAGTGGTATCAGAGCCCGAGTTCGACGGGTTCTGAGGGAGACGAGATGGAGACCAGTGGCATAACCAATGATGGAGACATGTTCAAGCTGACCGCAGACAATTTCACCTATTGGAGACCGATGATGGAAGATCATCTCTACTGCAAAGATTTACATGAGCCCATTACCCTTGATAAGAGACCGGAAGGCAAGACCGATAAGGAGTGGGAGATCCAGAGTCGTAAGGCGGTAGCTACAATCAGAAAATACATTGACAAAAGCCTCTTTGAGCACGTGTCCGAGTTCACGAACGCGTATGAGTTGTGGACGAAGTTGGAGTCCACGATTCAGAAGAAGACTCCCAGGAATAAAGCACACCTGGTTCGTCGACTTGTGAAGCTTGAATATAAGGACGACATGAGTATGATTGAACACCTCAACACCTACAAAGGTATTGTGAATCAGCATGTGGTTGAATATTGAATATGGTAGACTAATATATATGTACTGATTGTCTTCACGTATTTGGAATAGGCTGTGATATTGTGAGAGATTGTGGTTGTGATCCCTTGGATACAAGGAGTGCATTGGAGGATAGTGCTTGACAGGTAAGCTTTCGGTTCTTGGGGTTAGTCCCCTACTTGTTCCACCAGACTCCGAGGGAGGATGGTAGTTTGATATGGTATATTAAAAATGATTTATTATATGTTGCATGTATATGTATGTATGTTTGTGTGCCACACAAGACGATGTTTCCTTATGCATAGTATGAGACAGTGTTTCCTCATACAGTATGTTGCAAGACGATGTTTTCTTGCGTAATGCATACTTGTTATATTCTCTGGCCAGTAGGATTACATTATTGCACACTACATTGCCATACATATTTTGATGCATGCATGGATTTTTATACTGTGTTTATACCAGAAGTGAGTTTAGGGGTGGAGGAGCCCTCCAAGGGTCCCTAGCTTACTGAGATAATTATATTATCTCACCCCGCGTTATGGGGATTACCATTTCAGGTACAAGAGCTAATGGTGCTGAGACATTGCGTGGCAAGAGGCCAGATGATAGATACTATTTGACATGATTGTCAGGGTCTTGTGGATATTTAGATTTGTACCTGACATACCTTATTTTGAGTTGTACATGCCATGTATATTTTGAGAGCATAGGAGATGTCTATGCCATGTTGATAGTCTGTATATGTTGTAAGTGATGCATGCACAGGTCTATGTTACTTATTTAATTGCATCTCTTTTATTTATTTGATGTAATTATATAACTAACATCATGGACATTATTTTGAGACAGTGTGATTATGAGATAGCCTAAGCTATAGATGGCTGGACAATATGTTTTATTTATGTTGTGGTATACCTGGATTATATTAAATTGTCAATCAGGTTGAAGTTATCATGGTGGAAATTATCTCTAGTGGTCCAAAATGTTGTCCATTTTATTTTGGCCATAGAAGTGAAAAAGTTTGCAGTACATAAGTAAAAAGAGAAAATTTATTTAGTTAATTTCCACAATAATTAAGTTGAGCATACTGCACTTATTATCATATGAATGTTAATTAACCGGCTGCATACGGAGCGTTACAAAACACAATGTAATCATCCTATTTCACATGAATAAAATATGTACTCTTTATATAGCCGAAGGTAACAAAAAAAGGTAAGTAGTTTTTGAGTTACTAATCCTAGCCATTTGCTTTTTGTTAATGTACTATTTTTCTTTTATTTGGCTGTATCACATGCGGAGGGAATGTGGGATTCTTTTTGCTACTCTCGTTCAAATCCGCGAGTTGGCATGGTTCTTGACCATTGAGCGCCACAATACTGTGGCCTATTTCAATGGTTTCTTGAACCTTGATCATTCACCCTCCATTTTCCCTATAAAATGTGTTTTTACTATATATTCAAAACGTTGAAGTTGTTAGTCACGTCATGTGCATATTCACATACAATAGAGTAATACCAGCCTAGCTATCATTGACTAAGAAAAAATCTTAACTAAACTCTGCAAGCTACTTGGTCAGGTGATTGATTGTTTCAAAAATAATGTCTGGCAAAGCTTGCCGTGGGTCTTTGGATGATGTGAACATAGCATTACTCAATATCATGAGAACTTTTTCCTTTGTTCGGGTGCTTTCATCCGGCGAAAATTAGTCAAATTCAGTGAAAAACAAAATGGATGATCGAATTCAGCCAAAAATCGGATTGAACATAATGAAAAATGCATATATATATTTTCAAAAAATATAATTCATTAGTTCTGAATTCAGTGTCTAGATTCTCTCTAAAAAAAATACATATCTTAAGGCTTGAAATATTTTAATGTTAGTAGATAGATGTATTATTAAGATTGATCTCCGGCTCAGTGGTTGATTGTCTAATAGAAAAACAAGATTAATCTTTATTATGGCATCTTTGGATTATATTAAGTAAAATTGTAAGCATCGCTATATGATTGAAACAGCATTAACTAAGTAGACAGTTTTGCTTGAAAAGACATGGTAAGTGAGAGGGAAAAGTGGTTGACCAAATCCAAATGGACGTTGTCAAGTTTGACGGGCGAGAATTCTTTGCGTGTAAATGGGCAAAATAGTCAATAGAGTCGAGAGGCGCAATTTGGTTTGTTGGATTTATAGACATTAACATACCAAACACTCAGTTCCTTGTATTGGACAAATAAATAAGCATCACTCGAATGCTAAAGTAATTAGATTGTGTTTGTTAATATACATTTGAGCAATATTTTCTCCACAAGCACTATTCATGGGACTGGGAGATACAATATCATTTTTGAGGAAACCAATGAATAAAGAATCGTCTAACTGTCCCACCCACCAACTATACAACCGTCCCAACAGTCAACAGAAAAAACAAAGTTAACAACCATCTTTTCATCTTAACCTAATAAGGCTAAATGCTTCCAAGAATAACAAGCGTGCAGGAAACAAGAGCACTACAAAGAAATGCATACGTTGGGAAGCAACGAGACTACTGAACCATTTCAAGGATTCTCTACCATTCTGTAAGATGCCGGAGAAGGGAGGCTGGTCTTGAATCATATTGACCGATACAATGGACCTCCAAACAAGAACGTCAGCATCACTTCCACGTGGCACCACAAGAGACCACCACACCTTTCTCCGTTGCTCTCTCTTTGCCTTACGGATTTGGTTAAGTTCTTGGCGAATCACAGTTCTCACAGATTTTAAGTAGGAATTCATGTCATGATCTCTCTGTATGGTTCCTCCAGATCCATATGCAGATCGGTCACTTAAGATTTCAAGTGGGTGTGGTGAGTTCAAGAAGACCAATTGAGCAGCTCGGAGCTGTTTGTCTGTGTCATTGGATTCTGAAAGATGACCATTCAAAAGATATAGACCACTCCCTGAGGGCAGGAGATGATGACTTGGTGAAAAATTCTCGTCTGGTTGTAGAATCAGAAGTTCACCCATTGGTGTATATAATAGTTTCTGCAGTTAAAAGATACACACAAAAAATTGACTGAAGGGACTAAAAATATAATTGAAATTACCATACGTATGGCTATTATATAACACTTAATTTCAGATAAAGCAGAACTTTACCTGGTTATTAAGACAAGGATGATTACGGAAATTGGCATTAACAGCCTTTAGTAGTTTTGCGACATGTTGTGGATAATTGCAAGAAAATGCTCGTGGTACTATGTCTCTGTGCATTGTAATTGCCTGAACATGACTTCGTGGCAATCCTAGCTTGTCAAGCAAACTATCACCTCCACACATGATGGATGGGGAGCCAAAGGTTATCACAGGAAGCAGAGAGGACATTGGCACTTCGTTCCTTATCAAAAGCATAAGATTTACAAGTAATGCCAAGCTTCCTCCGAGAGAATGGCCAGTGAAACGGAATTTTGCACGAGAGCCTTTAGAGTTTAGGTGAGCACGAACTTCTGGTAACATCTGTTGATATGTCCCTTTTGCAGCCTCATATATACCTCTATGGACAACGACATCCAAACCCTAAGAAAAGAATATGTATCTCATTATCTCAATTTTGAGGAAGGGTAAACATTAAGAAAGATTATAAATTATTTATAACTTAAAACAGAACAAAATTTCCCCAATTAACAAGAAGAATGATACGAGGAAAAAGCTAACTTATCCTGTAATATTAACAATTACCTCAAATTGAACTGGCTCAAAAAGTAGGTTTGCTTTCCAGGATTCAAATGACTCGGAACCCTGCATATTAAAACAATAATTAGTGGGACAGAACGCACCAAAAAAAAAAAAAACAACAACAACAACATTGGCAGTGAATCAGGTACAAGTGTTCATTCATTGCTGCTAGTGCTAACTATCATAAGCTAAATGATATATCTAGCTATTGAGAATTATGATAATCATGTTTTTATCATGTTTCAGTGTTCATGCATTACTGCTAACTCACTAGTATTTTATAAAAATAACCAGACAGCTACTAGCTGCAACCAAGAAGTATAATTTATACAGCAAGATAAAAAAACATATCCTCATTAGTTTTCCCCACCTGAATAACAAAAAATCTTGTACAACTCTGGTCATCTTCACATATGAACCATTCACAGGGTGAAGAACCTGTTGAGTTCAAATCATCTGCAAAAGCCTGCTTTACTTCCTCGTTTGCAGAAACCACTGCTGTCACCGAACCAGTAGTTTTTCTCAACAATGCCACCTCTGTGTTTGCCGTGTTAACACTGTCAACGCTTTCCTTGCTTGCCTCAAGTGAACCTTCACCAACCACACCGTTAGACGATTTGAATGGAAGTATGCTTCTTGTCTGAGCATGGAGATAAGAGGCAGTAGATGCAGCAATCTCATAAGCAAAAGATGCACTTATCTTGTATCCACCATTCTTCTGCTCTTTTCTTTCTCCTGCATCCTTCTCATTAGTTTCTTCTTCCTGAGTTGCAGCAGATGCCTGAATTTTTTCAGCTGCTGCGGCTAATTCCTTCTTCTCTATAGATGAAGTTACAAAACGCAGACCATACTTTTTTAAGAGGTTCCCTGGCTAAATTAACAAAACCAAAATATTAATTAGTATCAGACATGCATTTTTCAGGAAAAACCAAAATCCATGATTTATTTTTCAAAGCAATTTTCCTTGCAAATCACATAAGTGCTTTGCTTCGTTTTGTTAAAAGTTAGAGCCGCCAAATGATAAGTATCCCATTTGTTCTGAGTTAGATGAGAAAAATTAGACACAAAACGGAACACCAAATCTTAGAGCAATGCATTTCCAACAAAGCGTTCAGATTTGCCTCATCAACATTAAACCTTGAAGGGTTTTTGAAATGCTGATTTATATACCTATCCGTGTAAACAATTACGATACATTCAAAGATATCATCCACATTAGTCTCTGAAAATTTCTGGGAAATCAGGGACAACAGGGTGGATCTGATGCCAATTCATGGCATTTAGAAATCTGATTCATTTACGAGAGATAGAAGATTTAAAATACCTTGATTTTGGGAATAGAGTATGCCAAGTTGCCCAAGTGGGAAATTTGCGCATACAATCTGGCTTCAGCTAAGGACACCCTCCGAAGCATTCTCGAAAACGAGTCTCTATCGAACCGAACCTCTTCTTCTTCTTCTTCATCAATCCTACAACCATCATCACATTCACACTCCTCCTCTTCTTCTTCATCGGTTTCATCATTCGCCACAACTTCCTCTTTCTCTTCATCATTAGCACCGCTCTCCTTTTGTTCCTTTCTCCAAACATAACTGGAATGAAAAATCTTTAACACCCAATTCCCATTTTGACCCTCTCCTTCGTCTTCTGGCTCCGCCATTCCATTCTGTCCCTCGGCGTTCTCCACCAAAACGGCGTCGTCGACATTGTACATAGCATTCCCAGTTGATCGGTGCCAAAGAGACTTCAAAGGGTATATAAATGAGAATCTAGAAAACAACGAGGATTTGTCGGTGGCGGAGGAACGCCCCACCGCGCTAACTTGAGACTGAGCACGTGCATTTGCTGTAATATGAATGGAAGGTGCTATCCCAGAAATGCTACTTTGTAAACACAGAGTATCCATTGTTATGTTATGATTATGACTGTGTTGGTTAGCACACACACACACACACACACAGAGAGAGAGAGAGAGAGAGAGAGAGAGAGAACGATGTGAGCCCAATTACAGGGAATTATTGTAACAGAGAACCCAAAGAGCGTTCAGGTTTCTGTTCCTTCAATTTCTGTTTAAAGAGAAAGAAAAAAAAGGAGGCTGGAACCAAACAAGTCGCCAAATATAGCTACGCTAAAACCGGTTATGCTGACGGCTTCGTTCCAATATCGTAGTTTGAATAGAAAAAGCCTTATTCCTGCGTGTGGATGTTGTGGCAACTCTGTCGTTTTGTTTTGAACTTTCGTAGCAAAGCGCGTGCTTTCAAATAAGTGCCACGTAATATATAGACTGTAAAGTGTATATGAACATGGCTGCTATGTGCTATCTATCACTGATGTGTTCGTAAAGCACCAATCATGTGGATGCTACTACAAAGTTAGGTTATACCGTTAAGAATAATCAAATATCATTAATTATACAATTGTGAACCTTCTTATGAAGTAAGTTTATACAGTTATGAAACACCGGTCAGAAGTTATGTATAAGCAAATCCATGGTCAACCCTCCCTGGACAACGGCTCTGATCATTTAATATTTAAGTACAAAGGTAACGTGTGTGCGAGAGAATACAGTTTTAGGTCTTAAGTAACTCTTATTTTAGAGGTTTAAGTTTCATCTAATTTATTTGTCAAATTAAATTATTAAGATAATATTAATAATTTTTTTCACTTTTATTTTTACCTTTAGGCTCTAGCTATCCTTATTAAATATATTGATAACTAAATGCATTTATTTGTTTTCCCAAAATATCTCAACTTACTACTTTCTCTATTTCAGAATATTGTTGTTTAGAGCTTTGTACAATAATTAAGAAAGACATTTAATAATCTTAATTTTAAATAATTATATCTGATTCTTTCATTTTATTAATGCCTCTCATTCCACTTTATCAGATATCAAAACACAATGATAAATTTCTAAAAAATAATTGATAACTTTCTAATTGTATAAAGTATCAAAAAATTAAATCTTATAGAGTGAAAATTATTTTAAAACGGAGAGAAAAAAATATTATATCTCTTTCGTTTATTTTTCTAATGAAGGGATAGAAATGATCAATAAAGTACTAACAAATAGGAAAGAAAATGTTAATAAAGAAAGAGATAATATTAATAAAGTGAGTGAAAATGTAAATGAGATTATAATTTTAATAAAATGACAATTTTCTCAATGACTTAGTATTTACTATTTTTTTTGGACAATTTAGTATTTACTATTGTCAAGGTTATTTACAACATTTTTAAAAAAAATCTGTTTTGCAAACCTTATCATTCAGTTATTCATGACCAGATAGCGATGAATTTAAAACAAAATTAATGAGTTATTAAAAAAGTAATAGTGAAGTTAAAATTAGAATAAGAAACTCAGGTAATAATCTAAATAAAAAAATTTGACAAAGAAAATTACGAACCTATTTTAATCGATAGTGACTTCTTAGCTAACAAGTTGTTTTGGAAGGAGGGGGGAGGGGGTAAACAATTATGATACGAAGGCAATGACAATTAGCACATTCTAATTTTCAAACCTTTAGCATGTGGGCAATTCTTTAAATTGTGAACTTCGAACTTCTCCATAAAATCATCAAAATTATTACTCATATTATTATTTTTTTAGATAAATCACATGTATCCTCCACGAGAGGTAATTTTGTTCGATTCAAGTTCAGAATTAAGATTTTAAACTTCTTCCAAAGATGATACTGAAAAGGATCAAATACATATTCTCACTCCCACTTGCTCAAGTTCCATATATCAACTAAACTACCATCGTATTGTAAAATAGTGACAAATATTTATCGGGTCACATTTAATGTTGGGGTGGGGTGTTGTCAACTTGCCTAGGAGGGATTTATGACTTCTATTCCCAAGATTCGAAAGTTTCAAAAAAATTTAAATGTTGTCTCACATTTCTAACATGAATGTAATTGACTTCTTCCATGTTTATATTTTATAAATTTTCAATCATGTTTAGCAACAGTTGCTTCTTACTTTTAAGTAAATATACTACTTATTTTTTTTAAAACATATACTACTTTTTTTTTACATAGCATACATACTGTTTTTAAGTTGGACAACAAACGATTGGCTTTTTATTAATCGAAAAAAATAAGACTTGAGCAATCACGGGTTTAATTCGGCACAAAGCCGTGGGATATCTGAATTATTACGAAGAAAAAGCATATTAATTATGTTTGAGTATATGATGTCATTTAGTTGGATAATTGATTTACTTGAATTGTCAAAATAATATTTTTATGAACATAACAATGTTGTTCAGATTTGTTGAGTAAAAAACCAATCAAAATATCTGAGTGATATTCTAAGACATATAAACACAAGTTACATTGCCATCAAAGTGAAGTGCTTGCACCAATCAACAAATCTCGTGAGCTTCCATCAAGAAACATAGATTATTTGACCGAACTACACCTATAAACCTTGAACATTGGAAGTTCAATAATCGTCGAGTGCAGGTAAGCGCACATAGGTCCGTCAACTTACTTTTCCAAGTTTCCACGATTAATCAACTTGGGTAAGTGACCTCAACTCGTATCTGCCAACTTTTACTCATTTTAAGTGAGTGTCAACCATCAGTGTAGGCTAAAACCACGAAGAAAGGTGACATGGAAATGGGCACTAGACTGTCAATGTCTACAATCAAGTCCTAGTTCACAGGGGAACAATTTCAGACACGGTACAAAACTAATGTAGGCATTTCTTTTCAGCTACTGTTATTTTTCGTATCAAAATAGCACGCCAAGAAGGCACTGGAATTCACAAGACGGCAAGGATTACAGGATGCGCATCATTATGAACGGGGGGAAAGTCATCTATTTGTAAACTAACAAAAGGGCAATTGCGGGAAGCCCAAGGCATGCATTTACTATCACCACCTAATCATGTTACATTGAGGAAATAATGAGCGAAATAACATGTATCCTGTATGTATTCTAACCAAGAATTGCTTTTATCTTTGTTTTCTGTTCCTCCGTTAGTGATGTGGGGAATAGAACCTCAAAAGTGACGTAAAGATCTCCTTTCTTCGTGCTCATATGCAATGGCATGCCCTCCCCTTTGAACTTCCTCACTTGCTTTGGCTTTGTGATTCCCTAAGGTGTCAAAAGAAGACTGTCAGCTATGTAACTCGCGCGTGTGTGTATACATATATATTCACCAATTGGTATCTGAAACGAGGATATTTCATACTCACCTTCGTGCTTATATCCACCAGATGCTCATCTAGGTGTTTTATGGTCTTCTCAAAACCGACAAGGGCTTGAACCTGAAGAAAATTAAGGTTAATAAATATTATAAAGCCCAGAATTTTAAGGACACCAATATCAGAGAGAGCAGTCAACGGTTTGCAAAATCAATTAAATGTCTTATTTTAACTCTGCCATGCTAGTTAATAGAACAGTAGTTACTACTTGCATAGTGTCCAAAATAGCAAAGGCACATTACAACTCAAGCAATTGATATGCATAACAACAAGAGATACTCACCAGAGTTATAGTGACAGTGGTGTGCAAGTCATCCTTTTCCCTTCTGAAGATGTCATGAGGTGCAGTACGGATACGAAACTGCTCAAAATATCATATGAATTGTCAGCACACTGCACCTATAACAATATCGTGCATACAAAGCAGTAGCTAACAAAGATAAAAATACTTGACTTACTAACCCTTAAATCTCCAGATTCTCCATCAATTATGGGTTCGCCATCCTCATAAAATAGCACCTCCTGCAGAAGGAAGAGACCTTGTTAACTCAATTTTTAATTTGGAAAAAATTAAAATTTTCAGCAAGCTTCCCAGAATCACGACTTATATACATCATTCAATAGCAACATAACACTTACGGTATGGTTGGTACCAAAGTGGAAAACAGAGAGGAGGCAGAGAAAGTGGAGTGGCATAGAAGGTTTTTGCTATTCACTCCTTGGTCCTTGGTAGACGGAATATCAGTTTTAGGGGCTGAATTAAAAAAAGTAAGGGTCCACTTTTTGTATAGTGATTTTCACTCCAAACTTCCCAATTGCCCATTTTCCAGCTTAACCAGGCAACCCTAAAAATTAAAATTTGATTTTCAAACATATGGAACAATCCAACTTTTTTTGTTCAGTTCTCTTGTGGCATGATTTCTCTCCCTCCTGCACAATGGTGTAGTTTGATTCAAGTAGCCAACCTCACCTAGTGGGGAAAGGCTTTGGTTTTGTTTGTTTATCCAAACTTGAACAGTTTCTTCAGCTTTTACACTATAGCTCAGAGTTCATTGATATTTAGCACTCAAGAATAGCAACAAATGCATCCAATAATTAACTTAGAACCATTGTTAATACCAATACTGAAAACAAAAAATAACTTAAAGTACTAGCTTAAAGTAAGAGCCACTGAAACTGAACTGTTTATGCATGTGGCCATTGGACAATTCAGTAAATATGTTTGATCGGCTTTTTTTTGTGTACAACAGAGATTAATAGTTGATGGATTTTTTTTTTCTTATTTTTTAATGCTAATAAATAAATTAAATGTACAAATAGATATAATTTGCAGTGATTAGAAGAACTTATCATCAGTTGAAGTGAAATAAAACAGAATTAAAAAAATTATGCGTAAACTAGAATGTTAAATTTTGAATCAATTCCAGTTTTAACAGAACTGCAAGCAGAATTATAAAACAGAATTTAGATGCACACATGATTAGATATACTTTATAGTGTAGAGCACACATGAAAATGGGTAACAAGACATGATATTATGCATACTTAAAGCCTATATATAAACTTTAAATGTTTACCTGCCCATCTTGCATGCCTTTCTCAATATCAACAGTGATGAAATACCCCTCCCTTGCATATTTGACATTAGGACATTGCTCACAGACCTGGACAGGAAAATTCAGAAATAGAGTGAAAACTTCCACATATGTTAACAATGGGAACAAAATAAACCTACACAACACCCCTCCCCCCCCCCCAAACACGCACACAAAGGAAAAAAGGAAAGAAAAAAAAAATTATGAGCGCGAAAAAGTAAACATCTCACAGTCATACAAATTAATGTCATGAAACAAGAAAGCAGCATGTTTGTAGTATATAAGAGAAAAATATTTATGTTCAGTGAATTCAAAAATATAAAAATATAACTCAGTGAATTCACTCAACATTCTCAGAGATGCTGTTTACCTGCTCTGTCATCTGTTGAAACATCCCAGGCCCAATTTGCTTGTGGTAAACCTCATTTCTACAGTTACAACGTCTCTTCCCAGGTGCTGGTTTTACAACATTTTTCTCCCTCCAAACCTGATAATTACAATGCAAGTGTCACAAAGAGATAAGTAATCACCAAATAACTCAGAAACTCTACACTTCAAGTCACAACAGCATGATGAAAATATTGACTAACGGACCAAATTGATAATCACTGTGATAGTTTACAATTATGACTGGCTATTGGCAAAAGTGCTTTCTCAATGAATGTACTTAACTGTTTAATAGACCAAAGTATCTGAGATAGAACAGAAAGGGAAATAAGAACAACCTCCAGGAATATCAGATATCATATGTATGTGGAATATGTTATATGTGTATTAAATGGACAAGGCCAAGCTTTGATGTAAGCTGCTCTGCTTCACAGCTCCTAGAGCAGTTCTTTCTTTTAATTTTATTTCTAGTTTCAATTGGCTCATACACCTAAATCAAAGTGTACTTTGCAGTTAATATGTGTAACATGAAAACCGGTTTGATAATCTTGAGTCTATTCCATTGCCATCTATATCCTCAGAATAAAATGTTGCAGAAATTCAAAAATGGTATGACACAAGCACTTCGGCAGATATATAGATTGAATGCACCAGAGAATAGTAGCTAGATGTGATCTCACCTTCAAGGAACCTCCCATGTACAAATCTTCTAGGGTTGCGTCCAAGTCAACAATTACATCATCACCTTTTAGAATTTTCTCTTCCTCCTCCATTGACCCACCACCAAAGAAACTGAAAGGAAAATCCATTGTGTCATCCATGAAACCAAGACCAGAGCCCCATACTATAAGCTAAACACATAAGTATAGCAGAATAAACACACAAAAAATATATAGCAGTCTGCCTAGTCACTACTTTGTAATCTATGCCTATAAATCAATGGTTAGATTGAGGTTTGTGCCATAATAAAAATTGAAGCAAACAAGAGGAACTCCAAGAATCAATAAACCATAAATGTTCTGTTTAGAGTATGTTGGTATGACTATACAGAAAATCTTTATATAGCCTTCCTTAGCTGCCTTTTTTTGCCACATGGTGGTATTATTTGTAATTTGATTCAAAATATATACTAATTCATGTAAAAAGTGGTCAGATAAATATACAGTAATTAATACAAGAATAACATTTCTCGAATGTGATACTGATAGGTTAAGAACAAATCCAGCAAAAGCTAAGATGATGACTTACGAGCTAAAAATATCCTGCATGTTCATTCCCATTCCACCACCTCTGCCTCCACTAGCAGCATGCTGCTTCAAACCCTCTTCACCATACCTGTCATAAATACTTCTCTTCTCGCTATCCGACAACACTTCATATGCTGATAGGGATAACAATAAACAGCAACAACAACAACAACAACAATAGCAAACCTCTGAATCTAAAACAAATAGTGATAATAGACTGGGCAATTAAAACCAAAACAAACAACCAAAGATATATACCATTGTTAATCTCCGCAAATTTCTTGTTAGCTTCTTCGTTGCCCTGGTTCTTATCAGGATGGTACTTCAATGCCAGCTTCCTATATGCTCTCTTTATCTGCTCGTCCGATGCACCCTTCGATACTTGAAGTGTATCGTAATAGCTCTTGCTGCAATGCACAACATATCATATGATGTATTGTTCTTACTAGTAACTGAGCATTTTCCAGGGAAAATTAAAAAGAAGAGAAAGTAGAGAGAGAGAGAGAGTACGCAGCAATGGCGTTGAGAAAATAGCAGAGAGCGCAAAGAAGGGACAACAGCTTGGCTCTTCGATGCGCCATGAAGATGACAAGAGACTTGGATCTCTCCGAAATGAAATTCTAGGGCTCAGCTATTCTCGCTCGGATCTCGTTGCAATGAAAATTAGGGATGAGAAATCAAATGTTTCTGTGCGTATGATTATTGGTTATTGGTTATTGAATCGCTTCTTCTCTTGTGGCTGCAGATTTTACAGTGGCAGAACTGAAAGTGATTCCGCCAAAGACTTGACTATGGAGTCGACACTACGCTTTACAACGTGTTCGTTTCGAAACTGGCCAATCACCGTAAGGCTTTGGTTGTTCCAACCAATCCTGGATCTCCACGTCAGATTTTGTCGATGCTCTATTTTCCCGTTTTGTCATTTGCGCATGCATCTCCTCCACCTGGTCCTACTCCCAAGTCCTAACGACTTGGAAATTTCACCGAAAGATAAATTTACCATTTTAGCCTTTTGTTTCTTGTTAAAAAATGTAGCTGTTCGTTGTTTACAATATTGCTTTTGGTGCTTGCTCCCTCGCAACCTTTTGTCGGAGGCCCAATGCAACTGCAAAGCCTCGGCCTCTAGTCCAGAGATATAAATCAAGTTGGACTCCATTTAACGGCCCAGAAAAGAAGCTGGACTTTTGTGTTAATGTGGGTGGCCTTCCAAAAAAGTAAAGAAAGTCTTTTCCGTACTATTTTAAAAGAGAATTTCTTATTAGTAAAAAAGTATCTAGTGTTACTTTAGATAGTTTTATATGAGGAAAATGTATTGGATTGAGATTTCAAATAATTTAATTAATTATTTTTGGACAAAAAATCCATTGATATTCAATTAAAATTTTAAAGTATTGAATGAAGTCACGTGGTATTCGATTATAATTTTAAAATATTTTTTAGAGCCGTCCAAATCAGTTGGTATTCAATCAGAATTATAAACAAAGAAAAAATAATCTTGTGGTATTCAAAAATCTGACGATTTTAATGAATTTTCAATTGGTGTGGATTTCATAAAACTTTTTAGTGAGAAATATAAATAAGATGTATCTCTCACAATCTCACCTTAACCTCGACGATTTCTTATGATTTCCTTATTGCAGTGTCTTTTTCTTTTTTTGACGGGTTGAACCGCTTGAAACTGGGTTCCACTACCGGAGCTTTATCAAAGCTCAAAACTATTAGATTTTTGAGCGATTTTCATCACAAAACAACCCAGAAAAACAAACCAATAATATTCTAATACAATTCATCTCAAAAGCAGCAGTTCTTTTCAGCGATTTTTTATAGCTTTTGGAAGCTTAATAAATAATTTTCAAGTTATGTGTCGCAAATTTTTTTGACACAAAAATGTGCTATTTTTGTATTAAAAACCACATAAAACAGTGGGAAAGAAACAGAGGAACTAAAATCCTCAAACCAATTTTCGTTCTATATCAATAAAACAATATCAATGTAAAGAAATATTGGAACTTTCACAATATGAATCCTATATTTCGTAACAATACATTTACGAACGAAATTTCTTCGCTATAAGAAACAATTTCAAATAATTTTTGTGTCAATAGATAACTAAAAACTTAATTTTCAAAAGTCCTAAAGCAATTTAAGGTTTCAATGTATTGATTGAAAATAATTTGATAAGTTTTTTAAACTTTCATGTAACAAAACCTAGAAATTCAAATTTAAATTTTTTTTAGAATACTCAATGAAAACATATGATGTATAGTTAGAAACTCTTATCACGCAGAACAAAAACTTCAGGATTTTCAAGATCAATTGCAAAAAATTTAAAACAAAATTTTATTTTGAACTTTATGTTCTATATACAAATTTAGAATTATTTTAATAAATAAATTGGGTCTTACAATCATACGTGCATAGCTCTAATATCAAATTAAGAAGATAATTTTTAATCCATTGGTCAAATCCAAGAGCAAGAACAAGAAAATGCTAATGCGTGGAGGACTAGTATAGCTTTAGATACATGGAGAGCTGTTACTTAGTAATTTTGAATGTTTGTTAAAAATTATATTATGTTTTACTGGTTGAGAAAATTATATTAGGTATTATTTTTTTATTAATATCATTGCATTTATTTGTTCTTTTTTTATTGACTTATGTCATTTTGAATATTTTTTAAAAATTCATATAATTTTTAAAAATCTTATAAATTCTATTAAAATTCTTTAAAATATAATCTCATGAAAGATTGATTGTAAAAAAGTATTGAAAATCTTTCCGATTATAAATAGTCTTTTAAAATTTATAAGATTTTTTATCCCAAAAATAACTTTTAAGATCCTAATCTAATACACCCCCATAATGTTTACCGAAATGACATCGTTTTGGTTAAAAAATTAGAAAATTAAAATGATAAAAACTATTATAACCCTAAAATAAATTAAAACTACAAATAGATCATGATTTCTACCTCCAAACAACGTCGCTTTGATAAACATTAGACAAAATTATTTAAAGTAACTTTAGAAAAAATGAACAATTTTTCACAACTCACAAATTTATTTATTTTCAAATATTGTTAAGTTTTTAGTCAAAATAGCAGAGAGCACCTTATTTTTTCCATTTTCTTCCTTTATCACATGTTATTCCATCTAAGGACAAAACTTAACGTGTATGGTGACCTGAAGCCAAATTGTAAAATGAAATGTTTTTCCACTCGTTAAACATAATATAAATTTTTTTTTTAAAATACTTCTGAAATGGAAAATTCAAAACTAGATTATTAAAATCAATATAGTTTATTATTGTAAGTGAATACATAAAATACCATTTTGTGTAATTCTTTCTAAAAAGAAGATATTGTTCCGTTATATATATATATGAATAATGTTTTCTTCATTTTGCATGAGAATTCAATTCTCATGTTGTGATCCTTCGATTTGCGTGCAAAAATTTTCTTTTCTTTTCTTTTTTTAATAAAAGTTGGACCCATCACTAATTGAGTCACAACATGAGAATTGAATTCTCATGCAACATGAGAAAATCAAATCCCATATATATAGGTAAAATCATTTCTGCAGCCGTTTTACGTACAGTAATGACAGGTGTACGATTATGATTCCCCATATTTAATGTTTTCATCCTTTATATGGTTATGATTCTCCGCGTTTAATGTTTTCATGTATATATATGGCAAGTATTTTATTACTGCACGTACAACGGAACAATACTTTGATATATATATATATATATATATATATATATATATATATATATATAAAGTGGAATATTAAATTTTAAAACTAATGACCTCTTTATTTAAACATTTTTTGATAAAAATACTTTTATGAACTTTTTTTAGATATTTTTTAGATACTTTTATGAGAAAAGCGCTCAAACAATTTTTTAATGTTTTTATTTTTTATTATTTGAAAATATTTAAAATTTAAACTTTTTTACATGTTTTTAATCAAAAAAATAGACCTAAATAATATTACTTGATGAAAGTTATTAGATGATAATTGGCAAATAGAAATTGAGAAAAATAAATAATGACAGAGCTTAACCTAGCATTGTGTCAAGAGAATAAGAAAGTTTATTAGTCATTTTTTATTATTATTATTTTGAATAACATATGCAATTATACAGGTAACTTATACCTTTTTCATTAAAAGATTTATATTGAATATTTAAATTAATATAACTTTATTTATCATATTATTTAAAACTATGTTAAGCTACTTAAAATGAATGGGTTCAGGAGGTAAGCAATTTTAGTTGCTTGAAACAAAAACAGAGAGTTCAAATGTTAGAAAAACATCTCCTGTAAAATAATCCCATTACTCTCGTAGTCTCGTACTCGATCTGATGCTGAAAGAGGGATTAATCTCAAAGGAGTTTTTTTTTTTTATAAACATCTCAAATGTATTTTAATTGTGTGTCTGCGTGTAACCAGCGAGGTATTTACTTTAGTGGCGTCGCACAAAGGCCGAGCCTGATTCCATTTCCATAATATTTGCCATGGCCCATATATGTCCTTCAATTTTTTTGGCATATGGCTCGTATCTTTATTGGTGAATTACAAGTCCCAGAATGTTGTCAGAATTGTATGGACACGTGAATGGCGTTAATTTATTATTTTTGGAAATAGTTTTTATAATCCAGGACTACCAATCACTTGCTACTTTCTCCGTGTGTTGCACCGACATTAACACAACACGAGATATATGACATGATACGACACATTATATGTTAATTTTAAAAAATATTATATTCTGACACGTTGAAACATGTTTTGATATTAAATAATATTTTAATTTATATAATATAATTTATATTTAATACATATTACAGCCAATAGTAAATCATGTAACCAATTAAATATTTAAATTTTTTAATATAAATATTAAAAAAAAAATTCGTACCTTATTAATTTTTAATGTCAAATTTTATAACAAAAAAAATTGACTTACAAATTATTTTTTTATATTTAGTTAATAAAATAAAATTTAGCTCTAAAAAAAACATATTAGAACGTGACGGAATATTGACCTTGTGTCTTAAAATATTAACTACGTGTGGAAACGTATCGGTGTCCGACATATATATTTTTAAAAAAACTGTGTGTGTCTGTGGATCGCATCTTTCTCTCGTACTTCCATTTTTTTTATTCATGCTATTTTTTCTATCCTATTTTTATCCGCTCATTTATATTAGAGGACCCCCTCAAAAAATGGTTGGCCGGGTGATAAAAAATGCTCTACTTTTTCTTTTGTTCCACGCGAATGCCGTTTGTTTGTTTTATTATATTTTAACAGCTATTGAATTTATTAATCCTCGTGGATCGCATTGATTTTTTTGTTTTTTTATTTAATTTAACAACTGATCGTACTTTTATTTTAGGAAAAAATTTAAGAGATTAATGTTTCTAAATAAATTTATTTTCTATAGATAAAAGGATTCATTTTTTCTACAGTTAATGCAGATAAGTTATCTGCAGTAAACCTAATATGACGTTATTTTTGGGCGAAAATCATGGTGTTTTTGTAATTTTATTTTATTTCAGGGTTATTATAGTTTTTATATTTATAATTTTTTAAGATTTCAATACTAAAAC